GTTGGCCCCGGTCCGGGGGGAAGACAATAAAAACCCGGGGGGGGGGGTTGTTGCATTTATCAAAACTGGGGCAGTTGCCCATCAGCTTCTAGCTTTAATTTTCAAACCTTAATGGAACAAAATGAGAGATGATGGGTTGCTATGGGCAACTGCTCCAGATTCTGTCTGCTCCAGCTTTTATAAATTCTCTTGACTGAGTTCCTTTGTTTTAAATCACTATGAACTCTTGCAGGTCTTCAGTTTAGCACATACCTTTAAGGGCAGCTTTACTGTTATGTGCTGTGGAAAAAATGATGCTGGTGTGTTTTCTTGTCCATTGTGGTGCATTGGCAGCGTGTTCAAATGAATGAGCTGCCTTAACACAATGCACGGATAACATGTTGTTATATAAAGGGGATTAACATTCCGCATTGGCCTACACGTGAATGGGGCTTTTTCGATGACTGTATCAGCTTGTTTCATTGAACACTGATAGAAGAAATGTAACCATTTCATTACATCGGGGGTCTATTTATAGGTCTTCAGCCCAGCCATATGATGGGCGAATGCCGTTTGCACTAGATGGAGCCGAGGAGCATAAGAAATGGCAGCTGTTCTGTGCAGATCAATTGTTTTCTGTGATTTCGGTTTATTTATTTGTAACTATTGTGCTATATATTGTGTGTGTGTGTGTGTATATACCAAATATTGTGTGTGTGTGTGTATATATACCAATTATCTAAAGCCTTGCTTACCCTCCCTTAAAACAATAGTCACCTCACTGTGGAATAATAATTAATGGGATGTTAAAACTGCTCTGTTCTGTATTTTGGCTACAAGAAGTGACATGATTACATTTCCTCACGTGCAGCGAGGTGTTTGAAGTGAACACACATTAAATTGGAAATCTCATTCTTTTCCCTTATAATCCTTACGGATGATACTGATTTGTGCTGTGTATCTCATTTTGCTGGCATGTAATTGGGTTCAGACTGTTTATTTTTATGTTTTTCCTATTTTCTCCATCTTTGATTTGTCCTGTATTCTTTTAGGTCAATGTCCGGCCTGGAATGACAGTCTACGATTCCTTGGATAAGGCTCTGAAAGTGCGCGGTTTGAACCAGCAGTGTTGTGCAGTCTACCGCCTTTTACATGGGTATGGGGCAGAGTTTTTTTTTATGTGGAGGAGGCGCTACAAATAGAAGCGTCATGCTTGATAGTTAATATGTTTGCATTTGTTTACCTGTAGAAGTACTTTAAAATACACATTTAAGTAAAATGTAAGAAAAAAAGTGAACGCAGTCTAACTCTGAAAATGTGGAGAGATTTGAATTTTTCTACCAGTGCTGTTTGAAGTCTTGGTTTAAAAAAAAAAAGTCCTTTCCATTTACTTTTCTAACTATTTGTGTATGGGGAAGCACCTGGAAACGCTTCCTTGTCTGCTCCACAGGATAGGGATGGCAGGCATTCTGGTGATCCTCATTGCTCCTGATTGACCTAGGTGGATGTGGAATGCACACCTGATAAAACTTCTGGCAGACGCACTTGGTGCCCTGCCAGACTGCTATCTTGCTTCACGGCCCCTGGCTGAATCTCCAGTTCTGAGAAACGGCATGTCAGAGTCTATGATTCTTATAATGCTGAAGGCTACGAAGTCTACTTCTCACAGGGTCCATCATCAGACATGGAAGGCTTGCTTCACTTGGTGTAAGTCTAGGGGTTTTCACCCTAGGAGTTTCTCTGTACCACAAATCCTCTCCTTTTTTCAATTGGGTCTGGACCAGTGTCTAGCCCTTAGCGCTATAAAGGGCCAATTTTCTGACCTTTCCATTCTGTTTCAGAGACCATCTGCCTCTTACTCTTTAATTAAGATCTTTGTAGAGGTGGCTCCCCCTGCCCATTCCTCAGTGACCCCATGGGATGTGAATGTGGTTCTCTCAGCCACAAGGTAGTTTTCTTTGTAGCCATCACCTAGCACTTATGTGGAAATCTTTGGCTGCAAGGTCGTTTAGAAGGCAGGCAGTCTTGTTGGCTTTCGTCAGGCAGCAAGGGCTGTGATATCCAGTTCAACTTCAAAATGTGCAACAGCCCTCTTTTCTGTTGCATTGTGCATAACATCCCCAGGTTCCAGCTACTAACCGTGCAGGAATGCACTAGAAATGGTGTAAAATGGCCCTAAATGGATTTGCTGCATAGCCAGCACCACCCCATCTTTGTTCCCTGACAGCTGCTCCGTCTCTCCCCCCCACCCCTGACCAGTTGACACGGTACACATGCAACACATAATACACACACGGTACACATGCAACACATAATACACACACGGTACACATGCAACACATAATACACACACGGTACACATAGAACACATAATACAAACACAGCACACACACAACACATAATACACACACGATACACATGCAACACATAATATACACACACGGCACACATGCAACACATAATACACACACGGCACACATACAACACATAATACACACACGCGGCACACATACAACACATAATACACACACACGGCACACATACAACACATAATACACACACGGCACACATAATACACATGCAACACATAATACACACAAACGGCACACATACAACACATAATACACGCACACGGTATACATACAACACATAATACACACACGCAACACATAATACACACACGGTACACATGCAACACATAATACACACATGCAACACATAATACACACACACGGCACACATGCAACACATAATACACACGGCACACATGCAACACATAATATACACACACGGCACACATGCAACACATAATACACACACGGCACACATACAACACATAATACACACACACGGCACACATACACCACATAATACACACACGGCACACATAATACACACACACACGGCACACGTACAACACGTAATACACATGCAACACATAATACACACACACGGCACACATACAACACATAATACACACACACGGTATACATACAACACATAATACACACATAATACACACATAATACACACATAATACACACATAATACACACATAATACACACATAATACACACATAATACACACATAATACACACATAATACACACATGCAACACATAATACACACATGCAACACATAATACACACATGCAACACATAATACACACATGCAACACATAATACACACACGGTACACATGCAACACATAATACACACACGGTACACATGCAACACATAATACACACACGGTACACATGCAACACATAATACACACACGGTACACATGCAACACATAATACACACACGGTACACATGCAACACATAATACACACACGGTACACATGCAACACATAATACGCACACGGTACACATGCAACACATAATATGCACACGGTACACATGCAACACATAATATGCACACGGTACACATGCAACACATAATATGCACACGGTACACATGCAACACATAATATGCACACATGCAACACATAATATGCACACATGCAACACATAATACGCACACGGTACACATGCAACACATAATACGCACACGGTACACATGCAACACATAATACGCACACGGTACACATGCGACACATAGTTCGCACATGGTACACACGCAACACATAATTTGCACACTGCACACATACAACACATAGTACACCCTACTTACACTGGTCATAGATCTCTATTCAGCCCGTTCACAGTCCACACAATAAGCAGCCCAGTATTAGGGTTCCAATTTTGAAGTCCCCTGGGATTTGATCGTGCTACCAGTCAGTTTGCCCCTGGTTCTGGGCTAATTGAGCAATATTGCGGCTCCGCCAGTGTGTACAAGCACTCGAGTTAGGCGGGGATGGGAAGGGAGTGATGGTGCAAGCAGCCCAATTAATGGAGCGACCAAATTGTTGACAGCGATTATAATTATCGACTTAATTGATCAGTTGTTTCACCCCTAGGTTTTTTAGTTTATTGTGGTGCATTGACGACCTGTTCAAATAAATAGGCTGCCATATTGCAAAACAGGATAGCATGCTATATAAAGTGGATTAACATGCCGCATTGCGCCACACAAGTGTGAGTAGGGCCTTGATCACTGTGTCTGTTTGTTTCAATGGCTTACTTCATTCCTCTCTACTTTCACCCACAAGGTAGTTTTCCTTGTAGCCTTCACCTGTGTGAGACGTGTCTGAATTGATGGCCTTTTCTAAACAGCCTTTTATGATCTTGCATAGGGACAAGGTGTTGTTAAGGCTTAGGACTTCCTTTTTGTCTATGGTAGTTTCTGCCTTTTACCTCAAACAGCACATTGTTTTCCCATCCCCCTGCCAGGCTCTGGTTCATCAAACAACAACATTCCCCTAATGTTTGGATTTTTTCTGGCTGTACATGCCCCGACTTTGAATTCTTAAATTTGTAGGTGACTCTGACATTATTCAAACCTATGGCCTAAAGCAGTGGTTCTCAACCTATGTCCTTGGTCATTAAGTCATGACCCAAGTCGCACCTCAGTAAAACGCATGACATTGTGGTGCCGCGCGTTCCGGTGTAGGCGATCTAACTGTGGGGTGCCATTCAAATAAATGGCAATGCAACATACCACCCACACCAGAATTTGCGGTATGTGCGATTTTGTGTGGTACACTGAATCGCACGGGACTGTGCAATTAACGTACCTTACTAGTGTGAACAGGCCCTCAAAAACACTGACAGACACACACAACCACAGACACATTCTCTCGCATACATACACACTCCAAAATGTTTTTGTTTTTTTAAGATCCACCCAGTCTCCGTACCTTACGAGAACTGGAGTGGATCTCAGCCTGGGGTCCAGTGTGGGTTGCTGTGCTATGACAGAGCTCCATCCATATGTCCATTGCTGCTACAGCTCCTTTGTGTGCCCTGTAGAGGTTCCGAAAACCAGAGTGTGGCATCACTCCAGTCCAGGCACCGCTACAGGACATGTGAGGGAGCTGTAAGCAATGCATGCATAAATGGAGCTCCCTCACGGATATAGCCCCTTCCCATCCCACCTCAAGCTGACCTTCGGCACCGGGCAGCATATTTTGAATGGCTGCTCGGCGTGAGAATTGACAGTGCTGCACTAGGGGAAGGCTGAGGAACATCTCACCTAGAAAAGTGGAAGGCATGCGGTGACCCACTGAACACGGGGTCGCAACCCACTTTTGGGTCACGACCCACCAGTTGAGAGCCAAGGGCCTAAAGGATCCAGCTCCCCCCTTTCATGCTAAGGCTTGATTTACTAGATCTGCAAACACCTCTTTTCATCATCAGGCAGATTTGTAAGGCTGGTCTTCTGTTCACATGTTCTGTAAGTTCAGGTGGACATTTCTGCCTCCATCTGATGCCACCTTAGGGCGTAAGGTCCTTTTAAGAGTTTCATTGAGCTGCAGACAGTTCCCAGTTTCTGTTGTTTTCTTGGGCTTTTTAGCAGTTGTTTGCTCTGTTGCCCACCCCTCAGTTGGACTGCTTTTGCATGTCCCAAAGGTTTATGATTCCCTTTTGACCTTCAGTGGACGAGAAACAAAATTATTTTCTTGGAGTCCATTGAGGGACACAGGTCCCGTCCCTCTGTGTTTATGATCATGCTCTCGCTAGTGCTTGGCTGTATAGACATGCTGGTGGTAGGAGCGGTTATCGTGGGCTGGCCTAGAGGTTTTTTTTGTGTCCACTCCTTCTGTACATGGCAGTATAACCCGAAGGTTTACAACCGCCTGTGTCCCTCAATAGACTCCAAGAATTTTTTTTTACAGTTAGTACAAAAATCCTATTTTTCTAAAGCAAAGATTTCCACAGGACTGCCTCTTTTATTAACGAATTCTCTGATAAGCTCTGCGAAGATGATTCCGATTGGTTGCTATGGGCAACAGGTACAATTTCCTTTGCTCTGGCATTTATTATTCAGCTCAGAAGAAATCTTCCACCATTCTTTGCATGTGCATTCAGCACAGATCATGGGCATATGTCAGCTGAAATCATATTTCCCTACATATTGCAGAGCTTGGCATCACTACTCCCATTATACATAGGCATAGCTAGGAATCGGTTATGTAATGCCAGGCTGCAGAAGATTCTGTTTTTATTTTCTGCCGAGGTCTGAAGAAACTCTTCATCATGTTAAAGAGCACCTGCTGCTTATTACAGCAGCAGCTGCCATTTTGTAAATTGATAAGCATAATGTTTCTATAGCGCATAAAATGTCTCCCTCTTATGTGTAATTTGTAGTACATAATGCTGATCTTATGCAGCTGCACCTCTCCTGTGCCGAGAAACCAATAGGAAATGAGCTTCCATTGATCTTTTCTCTCTGCAGCTGAAACATTAGTTGATTGATTGCCAACGTTACAGCACACATTCTTTGCTAGTAACTCAGGCTTTCTAAAGTAAACCTGCAGTGTCTGTGGATCTCAGGCATGTACTGTATAAAGGCTTTGAGTTTGTCTCCAGCATTCTCTAACCCCAGCAATGTAGTGGATTGACTGAGGTCTGTGTTTAAGGGTCTCCATGGGTACCTAGAAGTGGCTTTAGTGCGTAATAATGGTACTTGCAGCAACCCTATGATACTTAGACTGTATTTTTCTTACATTTCTGAGAGCATGATAGAATTTAAAAGGACCTATCTCATCATTTACAATTAACCTGTCCAACATAGCATACTCCTTAGTAATTTTAGAAACCAACCAAAAAAAAAATCTGACAAATTAGCGTTACTATTGGGTGTAATTCAGGCTTTTGTCTTATTTAGAAATGTCTGTCAGTGAAACAGTTTCTTTGTATTTGCCACGCCAGTGACTTGACCTCTGGGCGGCTAGCAAAAAGACACTTTACAGGATACCGTGAAACGCCCCCCCATGCATAGATTAGTCGCTCCCCTTTGATTCCACCTTGAAGGCAAACAACATCATCTGGTGATATTGTTGTCCGTTCATATCATACAACGAATAACATTTTTCAGCAATCATGACGTGAAAGCCCACCCCCCATATGTAAAGTCAGGAAACTAATGTGCCCGATTCTGTCATTGTTGACTCTTAACCTTGGTTTTTAATGTGTGACAAATATTACATTTACTTCTGCATAACAAAACTTGCATGTTCTTTAGCCGTCCATGTTCCAACTTTGACTTTTGTATGGGGATGCACCGATACCGTTTTTTCAGAATCGAGTACCGATCTTTTTTTTTTTTCGACACTCACCGATACCGGAAGTCCCATTAAGGAAGCTGGGCGGCGTGTAGTGACCTGCCGTCCAGCTTCCTGAATAGCCGGGAAGCCATCTCTATGCTCCCTCATCACCTGGTGACGTGGAAGCATGGAGCTGGCATTCTGGCCAATCAGGAAGCCGGGGGGGGGGGGGGGGGGGGGGGCAGGTAATGACTCGCCGCCAGGCTTCCTGATACCGGTAGTTCCAGTATCGGGAGCATTTTGGCGAGTATGAGTACTCTCCCAAATACTCGGTATCAACACTGATACTAGTATCGGTGCATCCCTCCTTTTTAGGGGTGCTCTGACTGAAAAAATGTTGAGAAATCCTCTGCTAAGACTCAATAAAAACTTGTATTTGTTACCCCAAACTTAGCAAATCTTCAATTTTTATGAGTTCAGGTCTACTTTAGAATAAAACTAATAAATGGCTTAAAACCATAAAATTTCCAGTCAAAGAAATTCTAATATTGGCCACCTTCCTAACCATACACGAAGCCGGGCAGCGAGTCATTACACGCCACCCCACTTCCTGTTTAGCGGGGAAAGCCGGCTTCATGCTCCCTGATGACGAGGGAGCATGGAGCCGGCTTTCCCCGCTAGGTTTCTCGGCCAATCAGGAAGCTGGGCAGCGTGTAATGACTCGCTGCCCAGCTTCCTGATATCGGGAGCATTTTGGCGAGTAAGACTACTCGTCCAAATACTTGGTATCGGTGCATCCCTACTTCTGTATGACCACAAATAAATGGCATTTCTTATACCTCCCACTAGTGTTTTGTAACTGGTTTCTTATTTTTGTAACGCAGGCGAAAAACCTTAACAGACTGGGAGACGGATATCACCCCGCTGGTTGGAGAGGAACTGATGGTGGAAGTTCTTGCCGATGTCCCTCTGTCTATGCACAATTTTGTGAGTAATCATTAAGTGTTTTAAACGGTATGCTTTTCTGTGTATGCTTAACCCCTTCCTGACTGATGACGGGATTATTCCATCAAAAGTTTTCAAATACATAGACTGATGACAGAATAATTCCGTCTTGCGGGAAAATGAGTGCTGGTCCGTGGAGGGACCAGTGCCCGTGGGGTTTTTGCTGTTGCTGGGTCCCTCGGTGTCCGAGGCAGACCCTCAACAGCAAATCAGGGGGCCCCAGTAATGTGATCACTGCAATAGCCAATTGCAGTGATCACAGTGCCATTGCAGCCACTGATCCGTCTTGCAGCTCACTGTGTTGTGGAGCTGCAAGTCGGATCAGTGTGCTACAAAGTGATACAAAGTATCTCCTGAGGAGAATACAGTGTTTCCTCAGAATACTAAGTATCCAAAGCCCCTGTGAATTAGAAAGTATCCAAAGCCCCTGTGAATAAAAAAACAAAACACTTTAGTGCCCCCTAATTGGAAAAAAAAAAGTAAAAATAATATGTGGCGAGGAGGCTATTAAAGTTAGAAGACAAACATATCACATTCTAAAAATGTTCCACACTAAAATAGTTTTTCCCTCCTTGTATTTTGTGACCTATAACTCCCAAAAAAACCTGATATGTCCTATAAATCAGGAAAAATAAAAGAATTTCTTATGAATTACTTTTCTGTTAGCTACACTAATTATGTACACTTTATCATTGCCAAGACTGAAAAACGTGGGGGGGTTTTCCCATTTTTATTTTTTTTAATGCATATTTCAAATCAAATTAAAACCCATTTTGTCCTTTAAAAAACGGTATATAACATGTGTAGGTGCAATGAATGAGGAAGATGGAAATTATGCTTAATTATGCAAACACATAGCACAAATGGCAAAATTGCTCCGGTCCCCAGGAACTAAAACATTTTCTGAAGCTGTGTCACTAAGGGGTTAATTCATCCATCTTAATAATCTCCTCTTGTTCTCTGTTCCTAGGTGAGGAAAACGCATTTTAACCTGGCTTTCTGTGACTTCTGCCTGAAATTTCTGTTTCATGGTTTCCGCTGTCAGACCTGTGGGTACAAGTTTCACCAGCACTGCAGCAGTAAAGTGCCCACCGCCTGCGTGGACATGGCCAAACTGCCCAAGTAAGTAGGGATCAGGCCCATCCGCCTCTGTTTTTCCTATAAATGTCAATAGACATACTTGGACATTTGAGACATAAGGGGTGCAAGTTCGTAATGCACGTTGTCTATGTGTCCTCCTCCAGACCAGCAGGCAGTTATCCGGATTTCTCGTTCTACCCTGATTATTCCCTTGGCATTATCCATGAACCCTACACCCCGCAACCATCCACCAGGTAACAACCCACCACTTCTTCTTTTGTCCTGTCACAACTTTTCTCCTCTTCATTTCTGTTGTTATCCCTGGTGCCCACCCCATTCCATCTCTCCCTTCCCGCAGCCCCCGGACACAGCACCCTGGAGCTGATTCCTTTCCATTCCCCAGCGAGGGTCAACCCCTGCAACGGCATCGCTCCACCTCCACCCCCAACGTTCATATTGACAGCACCACTGGCCCCGTGGATAACAGCATTATTGAGGTACCCTGGCAGGCAGAGACTGGATTCTTCTAACTATTTTGCAAACAAGGAAAAACTAGTATATTTTGTTACCTATAAAATCTAAGGCTTTTCACCTCATTGCTTCAACTGATCTCTTGATGGTGTGACACTAGTGGGGGGAGTGTGGTTAGTGAGGAT